AAAAAAAAAAAAAAAAAAAAAAAAAAAGAAAGAAAGAAGTCGAATTCCTAGAAGCAGAGGGTAGAATGGTGGTTGCAAGGGATGCAGGGAGGGGAAACTGGGAAGGTGGTGACGACAGAGTACAAAGCTTCAATTATGCAAGATAAGTAAGTTCGGGAAATCTACTACATGGCATACTGCCTGTAGCTAACAATACTGTATTTTGTACTTAAAATTGCTAAAAGATTTTATGTTAAGTGTTTTTGCCAAAAAAAAAAAAAAAAAAAAAGAGCCACTTATCATCATCATCATTATCACAGAAGGGGACAGGAGGAAACTCTGGGAGATGATGATGGGTTTGATGGTAATGTTGGTTTCGCAGGCACATATTTATCTGCAAATTCATTGCGATATATACATTAAATATGAATAGCTTTTCATGTCAATCATGCCTCAATAAAAGTGGTTTTAAACTTTTTTTTAAGACTTCAGTATTAAATTGTCATTGAAAACTCCCCTGACCCTTTCAATCTCTGCACTCCTAGGCTTCAGTCAGCATTCTTCAACACTTAATTTCTGTTGCCACTGCAAGCTTCTTTTCCCAGTAGACACTGGGTCATAATAATAATCGTATTATAGGCCGGGCGTGGTGGCTCATGCCTGTAATCCCAGCACTTTGGGAGGCTGAGGCCGCTGGATCACACGGTCAGGAGTTCAAGACCATCCTGGCCAACATCGTCTCTACTAAAAATACAAAAATTAGCTGGGTGTGGTGGTACGTGCCTGTCATCCCAGCTACTCAGAAGGCTGAGGCATGAGAATCGCTTGAACCCAGGAGGCAGAGGTTGCAGTGAGCCGAGATCGTGACACCACACTCCAGCCTGGGCAACAGAGGGAGACTCTGTCTCAAAATAATAATAATAATAGTATTATCATACACTAATCCAGTGTTTATTGGTTACTCTTCCAATCATTTATCTTGTATTGACCTTTAATTTTCCCAAAAATCATCCACTCTAGATACTTTTTTTCACAATTTACAAATGAAGAAACTGAGACATAAAGAAGATGAAATAACTTTCCCGAGGTGACACATCTAGTAATAACAGAGACAGAACTGCAAACAACAGTGGTCTGGATCCATAGTCTGCGCTCTTAACAACTATTCTATACAGAACAGCCTCTCTACACAAAGTGTTGTGTGCTTGGCTGCAATCTCTGCCTAACTTCATTTTAAAGTGTGCCAAATGCATTTGTCTAAAGAATGCATTTTAAGTTGTAATAAATCAATGAAAAGCCAACAAGGATTCAAGATATGTACTATATGACCGAATTTTAAAAGGAAGAAAGAATTAAAAACTGTAGAAAGCGGTTAAAAAAACAACTGCAGAAAGGACGGAAAGAGGGAGGGAAGGAAGAAGGAAAAAGAAGGCTAGAAGGACAGAGAAAAGAAGGTAGAAAGAAAAAAAAATTGGTTTCAAAGTCACAAGAAATGACCAA